TAGATTACTGAAGTTAATATCATTTTTCATATAAATCAAGAATCTTTAGTTTAATCAAGTTACATTAATCACATATTAACACCTTTTTTTTGTCTTTACACCTTATTAACATATTGTTTAGTATTTTTTAAAGAACCATTTTATAAACACAAGTCTTCATTTTCTCTTTTTTTTCCCCAAAAAATGGCCATCTTCATAAGTAAAATGTCTGATCCAATTTTTACTTAAATCAACTAAAAGAAACGCAATCCCTGAAACACCTGCGCTCACACACACACACGCGAAAAGTAGTAAATTAGATATTTAGAGAGTATCAGCTTAGCTTATAGATCCATGCCAGATATTTAACGAGCATCGGCATACCCTAGAGATTTTTTTCTCTATCCTTGGATAATTTAGTCTACTCAGCATGCAGACTTTGGCGGCTTCATTAGATGGCAAGGCCGCTATCCTCATGTTTTACTGAATTCATGCCTTGCTATAGGTTTTATGCTATTTTGAACCTTATCATAGAATAAGTCACAAGTTAATACCGTTTCGAATTCGTATCAAACTAGTTTCCCCATGAATTTATCTTCTCTTTAGTTGTCGTAGGGTGTGATGGAACTAATAGAGTAACTGGCATGGTAACTGATTACTAATTACTTATGCCTTAATTATTATGCTATCTTTGATTACTGCAAGTAATCATAATTCGTATTTCACTTTATTCTCTACACTCTTGGTAAATATTTTTTTTTCTGTCCTTGTGTAGGAATGCACATTTGTGTACTAATCCTTTCATTTTTCTGTCTGTATATGCATATCATATATTAGTCCATATGATTGAATTTGGTAAAATTCCTTGAATCTCATGATAGGCTTGTGCTGTATATGTCGGGATCTTGATACAACTAATCCTCACTGTCACTCCTATAGACTATAGTATATCAGCTTAAAATTACAACAGCTTAAATTCTCATCAGTATAATATGAAAAACAAGGTTTGTACCGTGTGAGATGGCTGATGAAGATTTGGTTCTGTATAGTCTCTGTTTCCGATTGAGGTGCTTTCCTTTCTGAAGCCACCATTGAAAGTGTAAATGTCATCTTAAAATGTCCTCAAAGTGGTACATGGAACGACCATTTTAGCTGTATGCAAGAAATGATGAATATTGGTTCTGCCAGTCTTTTTTGTGTTCAATAGTGATTTGTTTGTTTAAAACTATTGAAGATAGAATTCATGTTACCTGGATACATTTCAGAGTCTCCCTGTATCACATGTAACCAAATGTGCATGCACTTCAATTAAATAATTTGTATTCATGACAAGGCATACCCGTTGAACTCTGGCAAATCATTTTATCAAAGCTTTGGGCCACCTTCACGTGTGATTTTGGCGATTGCACTTTGTACCCCTTCCCAGTAAATCTTTGATAAGTTTTTCATTTAGCCTGTGAATGACATACATACTGGCATGTTTAGTTTATGCTTTGCTTGATCTTAAGATATTATTAGATTTGTTTTATGACTTAGTATCATGTTGCTGTAACATAATGGATTGAATTAACAAGGATACAATGTTAGGATTTCTTGAACTTGTAACTAATATCTTTCATGTATTTTGACAGGGAATAATCTTGGTATCATCTATACCGGAACTGAGAGAATACTTGCTTTTCTACTGGATTTCATCGACAGTTGTAGATTTAGAAAACTATCTTATTATCATAGGACCGACGGATTTATTTAGACGTGTCTACCCTTTATAATTAGCTAATACAGGTGGTGTGTTGTCACCAACACCCTCTTTTTTCTTTTGATGAAAGTCAGTTCTGTTAAAATGCTTCATTCATGGAACTTATGTTTTGCAATATTTATGTATGGTGTCAGTAGAGATGATGTTATGGAGAGTTGGAAGATATTTTAATTCCATACTATTTATTCATCTCTCTAAAATTTGTGCCCAAACTTTCACCATCTCTCATTCCAAAAATCTTATTGCTTCATGCAACCTCATTTCGCCCCTCTAGCTTAGTTCATGCAAAGTTCCTTGAATTGATTCGAGAGATGTACAAAATACAAGTAATTTAATTAACATAACATATTTAAACATACAATTAAGAAGCGAGAAATAATCCTAGGACATGCGACACTACAATCAATTGTTCAAGAAAAGGATTTACTACACTAGAGGGATCTATCATGCTATCAATAGTTGTCTCCGAAGGAAAATGTAACTGTTGTCAATAATGTCTTTTATTTACCCCAAATTAATCGAGTAGTTGTCTCCAGAGGGAAATGTAACAGTTGTCAATATTATTTTGTATTTATTCCAGATTAATCGGAAAAATATAAAGGTTTAACAGTGCTCTCATAAATAGTTTTACATAAAGCATAGAGAGAATTTCAACAGTGGGTCCTATTAATGTCACATTTTGGTGGTCTAAACTCTTTCTTCTTTTTCCACTTAAGTGTTAATAGTGGATTTCATCGTTTGTTCCTTTCACGGTGTCAAGCCTTCATGATTGATTGTTTTGTCCATGGAGGTAGGTCCATGTGCTCGGCACTAAATTGTTAGCGTGTTAAAGGAGAGCTGGTGGTTCTTGACGTCTATAATTGTTCACCTCTTTTAATTTACACTTTTAATTTACACGAAGAGTCATTACTCACGACAGTCAAAAGAATTTGATATCTGATCAAACAGAAGAAGAGTCACTATTTAAGTTAAATTTTGATCTAAAAATAAAATTTAGGGTATTTTTTTTACTGAAAGTATTTTTCAAAAAATGTTTTCTGAAAAAGTAAATTACATTTCTAAAAAACATTTTTTATTGTTTGAATGTTACAGTGTAAAATGTTTTTCGCTGTTTGACTAATTTTTTCTGCAAACAATTTTTGGAATCTTTTTTAGTAAACAATGATAGATATTTTATGAATTTTCTTTATTTTTTTTATTTTTTTAAAATTTATTAGAAATTCATTTTGTTGTTAAAACATTACACTTTACAATTTTTTAAAGGGTAAACTATACAAATGGTCAATTTCATTTGAGTTCTATAAATTTGTGGTCACTGGATTCAAAGAACATAATATATGATCACTTTTGTTTCGTTTCAATTAATATGCGATCACGGATACTTAACTTATGTTATTTTAATGAGATGGCATGTTAGTAAAAGGGTTATTCGGCAGAGCAAGTGGGGAAGTCGGGGGAAGAAGAAAAGTATATTAAAAAGGGTAAATTAGAACTTTGTCCCTAAACTACTTTGAACTTATAAAAATATCTCTAACTAGTATTTTATCTAAATGTCAGGGGTTAAAATAAAAAATAAACCCTTTTAATAACGTGTCACATCATCAAACTAACAAAAGTTAACGTTCCAATGACCGCATCTTAATTAAAACGAAAAGAAAGTGACCGTATATTATGTTCTTTGAATCCAGTGACTATAAGTTTACAAAACTCAAACAAAAATGATAATTTATGTAGTTTACCCTTTTTTGAGTATAAAGTATATCAAATTAATTTTATAGATAATATGAATAATTTATCTTGATTATGTTATAAAAACAATATTTTTTTTTCTGAAAAAAATAATATTATCAAAGTGTATAATTAATACTACATTATATTGAAACAATAATAATATATCATGTTGAAATAATAAAATTATCAAAGTGTATAATTTTTTTTAATTGCTGAATGAAATTTCTTCTTAACTAAAAAATATAAGTAATAAAACCACCTAAAGTAAAGAAAGCATACCACACATGATTTAAAAACAAAAGCTTCAAAATTAAACACTTAAATCGACGAACCTGTAGCTGTGCAAGGGTGAAACATAAAAATGTTGGAAGTTGAAGATAGAGGCCGGGAAGTTGTCGTATCATTAATACTACATCACATTAAAAATAATAATATCATCCCACCATAATAATATATCGATATTGTCTAATTCATAATTTATACTACAACACATCAAACCAATAGTATTATCGAAGTTCATAATTAGTCGTGCAATGCATTAAGGCTAAAATATTGTCCAAGTGCATAAATAATATTACACCACATTAAAAGTACACATCTTAACCTTGGGCAAACTTTTGAAGCCAAAATTTCTATGCTTTGTTTTCTTAGCCAAGAAAGCTATGGTCTCCTGCTCAGTCTTTGCTAAAAAATCGAGCGCGTCGCAGAGAAAGTCGGCATAAAATCCCTCTTGTTTTATGAATAGAATATCATTGATGTAGTTTTCTCTTTCATAATCTCAATTCACGTGACATTTACAAGTTATTTGCTTTCTAGATTTTATTCTTTGAATCCAAAAAGCCCCGAAAGCCCATGCTGATGCGGGTACTCCTACTATTGTTTTATGAATAAAATTATATTCTATCTACAAAGAAATAATAGTAATAATTTATAAATACTTAAACTTTAGAATAAATAAAAGTCAATGAATTATAAACAATCTACATTCATATTATTTTTTTTTAATTTGATTTGCTAATGTTTCTAGCATTTTTCATTTTTTTCTCATCTTTGTTGAAAGTTGGGTGTTCTTTCATTATTTTATCTCACCCTTTAGAACTGAGATAGTTGAGACTAGAAATTAAAATACTTTTATTTTTCTATTGTTTAATAAATTTTATATGTTGAAATTTTCTAAATTAAAACATGGTTTATAGAGCATATAAATTTGATCCAAATTCAGTTATATGTAACAAAGGTATAGTATACAAAATTCTTTTATATTATATGTTTGTGCCCTGCCCTTATCTAAATTTGTACAACTAAAATGGATGTGATTTATGTTGATATACTGATATAAAGTAAGTTTTGTTTAGCTTATGTATTATAATTTTTTTTTCGATGAATGTGATTAATGCCGATAAAGCGATACACTACTCGAACATAACAAAAAACAAATGGTGAAAATAGTAATTTTACTTTGACCGGAAACTTTTCTTTTGGCCCTTTTCATAGAATATCATTGATGTAGTTTTCTCTTTCATAATCTCAATTCATGTAGATACAGCATTCTTTTCGGAGTAGAAAGCCCAAACAGCAGTTAATATTACCAAAGAATACTCGATCATTCGAAGGACCACAAAAGTAACACAGTTAAAATGTATGAAACGTTCATCTACAGTTATATTCCTTTTGTCATCACTGAAGTGAAACGCGCATTCAAATGACCAAAACCAACATGGAGCCGAAACATTCATATACATGTCACTTTTGTTGATGCTGAATTCGAAGCATTAATCAGAGACTGTCAAGAACAATAAGACTCGATCAATCATTTCTAAAGTTGCTAAAGTTTTTCTCGTTACTGCATTATATTGAGAATTTATCTATTCTATTATCAAATTAGTCAGGATAATGCTAAAGAAAAGTAAAAGATGAGACGACATTAGACCCTATCATGAGATTTACTCACTTGTGCATTCTTAAATCTGGGGAGTTGTCGCAAGGGTGACAGAGGATTCCTCGGCGAATCAGGATCAGTGAAGTCAATTTTCTTCTCAATTGGACTGCATATCTTTGGACGCTTGTTTGTCTGCGAGAGGGTCAAGTAAATAATATCATGAAATCAACAAACTACTGATAATGGACCAGAAATATGCAGGTAATGCACTTATTTTACATGTGAGAACTGATAACAAGCATTCATGTGAAATACCAACAAATTCCTCACTCACCTTCGTAGATGCACTACCAGAATTCTTCCCACCAGAACCGTGATGGTTCTTTTCTTTGTGGTATTGCCTTAATAATCTTCTGTTTTCCTCATTCAATATATTGTTTTCTTCAAACAGAACTTTGACCTATAGGGATAAAATATATCGTTAAGTTCTAACAAGAGATGGGAATTTCACAAGCGCATGATCTTCAAACTTCTTACCTCATCTTCAGCTTTGCAAAGATTCATTCTAAGATGTTCTTTGTCTTTCTCAAGGGTCTTTACTTCAGCAGCCAGCGCCAAAATTTTTTGAGTTGAAGGCCTTAACCTGCAAAGAAAAATAAGCCCAAAGAAATTTATTCAAGAAATATGTGAGTAGTCCTCATGAACCAAATATCTGCATTAATTAACGAAGTTGCAGATACAATATCGAAATAAGAGAAGAAAACGCTCACTTATTCCACATTTTATGTAACCTTTGACATGCTTCAAGGGAATTATTTGCCTCCAAGAATGTTCGTCCACACGTGACTTCATCTTTACATATCAATGTTGATAAAACTGAATCAAGCAAATTCTCTTCCAAAGTAGTTCCCTCAGAAGATGAATCAATCTTCGAGGAAGGTTATATGCTTATCAGTCTTAGATATAGTAGAACTAGACAAAACTATAAATGATGAAAGATTTTCTAATCAAATCATAGAGCATCAAAAAATGAAACAATCTCCAATAAGCAGTTTCATTGTGTCCAAGTTATATCTCTATCAGCAATAGTTCTATCATGCTGCTTAGAAAAGTTTAAATCTTTAACTAATTTCCACAAGTCAGCAATTAAATCCAATGAAAACTCAATATTTACTACAAGAGAATATCAACTCCACTTCCAAATTATCAATAATTCAAAACAAAGTAATAAAAGATTTAGGGGGGGAAATTTTAATTTACCCCTCGGCTCTCATCATGGCGCTTGTAGAAACTTAACTCTTCAGTTAATTTCCCTAACTCCTCTTCCAATTCATGAGCCCGAAACTCAGCTTTCTTCGCCCTCTCATCAGCCTCGTTCCCAAAATCCATCAACGCCTCCCTATCATGATCATAAAGCGAACACTCTCTTTCCCATTTGTTACACTGAGTCAACAAATCCGCGCACTCCGCCGCAAGTTTCTGATTCTCATCCACGAATCTCTTCAAAGCCACAGCATTCATATTCGCTTCGGCCTTAACAAAGAATAAATAAGGACACCAATAAGTTCACATTCTGAATATAAATGCATAAAAAATTGCTTTATAAAAAAGAATCGAGTTGAGCAACCTTCGAACGCTCGATGATTTGATCTTTCTCTTTCAATTTTGAGAGGAGGAATATGCACTGGTCACGGAGGCGACCCTGCGCTTCTTCGGTGTAGCGGAGTTTAGATTGCAAATATTGAGTGGAGATTTGAAGACCTAAGGAATGCTCGATTGTTTCTTTCATGTAATCATCGACTTCTTGAGGAATATCCATGTTCTTGAATAAACCTAGATCTCGAAAAAATTTGAAAAGTTGTGAAATTAGAAGATATATTTAGGAGTTGGAACTAGGGCTTTTGAAAGGGAAGACGAAAAAAGGGAGGGGGGGGGGGGAGATTTTCTGCTAATTGTACAAATAAAAAATAAAAAAGTACTTGTTAGAGTGAGGCTTGTAAGATCGACAATTTTATCCAAAAATCACACTAACTTATAAATACTATTTACCATGTATTTTTTTTAATATTATCGATTTAGCATTTTTTCTGATAAAACGTGAATTGTGAGGCGTTACTTCGTAGAGTTTTGTTTGAATTGGCGCCACGGTGAAAAAGCGCGGATCATAATCCATGCCTTCTCGAGGTTATATCTGAACTAACGCTACGGTGATAAAACGTGGATCATCGGTGATAAAACGTGGATCATGAAGCGCCCTTTTGCTTTAAATCTCAATCGTCCCACCTTAAATATCGCACAACCCCCGTCCCTCTCCCCAAATAAATACCCTCTCATCCAACACTCATAATACACAAAAAAAAACTCTATTTCTTCCTTCTATATATCATTCTATCTAGTTTTAAGAAAGTATAGTTATCGTTTTTAGAAGCTAATTTTTTTTATTATATTATCATCATTTAATAGTTATTATTTTATTATATTTTATTGTACTAATTTTTTATTACTTTTTGTAGTTATAAAATGGCATACAGGTTGCTGCATTTAGATGAGAATCATATATCGAGTCATTTTGTTGATACGTTAATAATTTTAAATTCTATTATTTTATTTATTGTGGATGTTTTATTCTTATATATTTTTAGTATTAGTTTATATTTTAATTTGTATACTATTTATTTAATTAGTTTACTGACTGTTTATTAGATCCATTTATTCGTAACACTAAATTAGAGATACAGAGTCGTGTCTGGTCGTATTTAGTTGAGGTCGGATTGAATTACATAGTGAAATATGAAGGGCATTGTAACCTTGAATCCAACCTGATTTTTGCACTAATTGAGAGGTGGAGACCAAAGACACACACATTCATCTTCCGTGTGGGTTCCGTGTGGGGAATGTACTATTATGTCGGAGGATGTTTCTTTACATTTAGGGCTTCTGGTAGATGAGGATGTTATTACTGGTGTGGCGGATAGTGATTGTCATTCCTTGTGCAAGGAATATCTTGGAGGTATCCCGCCTAATTTTAATTGTGGTCGAATACCGTTATCATGGTTAGCTAGAAACTTTAGATGATTGAGCGATGACTCTTCCGAGGAACAGAAGTAACATCCCCCATACCGGGTTAGTGATTAAATTGTGAAATTTTAAAAGTTAGTGATCAAAGTATATAAATTAAAAGTTGAAGGAATTGATTGAAATATTTAGTGTAGGATCAATTAGCAAAGCAAGGGGAGCTAAAGGGGCAAATGAGTCTTTTGATAAGGAAAAATAATTAAATGATAGTGGAGGATATTTAAATCCACGTGGAAAGCTAATGAGAGAAACAAGGTTCTGGATATTTCTTTCTTCTTCCTTCTTCTTCTCTGCCGTGAAGCCAAGCTAAATGTGAGTTTTCTTGTGATCAAATTCTTGATGAATTTAAGGTTGCTTATTGATCCTTAGTTGATAACTAAGCTTAAGGAAAACTTAGATATCTTAAAACCATAAGATGAGGAGAATATGAAGAATCAAAGAAAAGAGGTAGAAAAGTGAAATCTTAGATTAGAGCTCATAATAAGAATTAGAAGTGAGTTTTGACTTGTCATAAAGCTAACTAAGAAGTAGGAGGTGTTAGAATTCAAATTAGAACATTTTGGAATTTGGGTTAGATTCTTAAATTCTATATGGAGAATTGAATTTCTAAGTTTTAGAGGTATGAAATGGATAATAATTAGTTTAAGTAAGCGTATGCAAGTTAGGGATATAAAAAGAGGGGATATATAAAGTGTTGAGAAGATTAAGAAGAGATTTTAGTGCTTAAAAGACATTTTTGGGCAATGTGCACCGATGCATCAAGGATAAATCCCAGAAATTGTTCAAGGTGTACAGATGCACATGAAGTGCATCGATGCACTCTTTTAAAATACAAACATCGAATGCCATCGATGCATCGATGCATAAGGAGTGCATCGATGCAACCCATTAAATACAAACATTGAATAAGATTTATGCATCGATGCATGGTGTAGTACATCGATGCATACCTCCATTAAAAGATGACAATGGCTTTTCTTTTTAGCCTAAGAAATGATAGTTTAGAATATACTAATTAGTATACTGATAAGTATCAATGAATTACTATGTAGATATCGAGCCTAAACGAGTTCTGGAACAATCGACAAGTAGGATTGATCGAGGGAAAGACAAAGAAATCTAGGTGAGTGCATATGCATAGTATGAATATGTATTCTATTCAGTTCTAGACTTGTGATAAGTCTAGATTCAATATTTTGATACATGATCGCATTTCATATTATGATACATGACATGAATTCATACCATATACATTATGTGACATGAATATGCAAGAAAAAGTTATATGAGTTATGTGATAAATGTATGAAAATAATATGTCTACGTGATACAAATTATGTGAATTGTGAAAGCCCATGTTATATAGATGAGAACTATAGGTATAGTTGGCATGCCAATGGTAGAGGGTCTACGCGGTCTTTCGGGATATATATATATTCTTTGGAACATGTGTGAAGTCTTGTGAGACACATACTTGATCCCTAGTATATGTATATGATTCTTAAGGAATGATATGTGGTCCTTATGGACATTATTATATGGCACTACGGTGCAATTCTAAGCGGCACTCTAGTGCAATTCTACGTGGCACTTCGGTGCAATTATACGAGCTGTGGTGATAGCATAGTGCACAACCTCACAATACTCACATACCTTAGGTTCTCATTATGGTACCATGGGCTAATGAACTTAATAAGATAAACTTATGAATGTGAATTTGATAAGTATATGTGTAAGAAACATGATTATGGTTATTGCATTGTTTACATACATCTTATCATTGCAAAATACCTCATTTTGGTAATTCCTTTATATTTTATTTGTTATTATTATATTGCCTCACTAAGTCGATGACTTAGCGTGTGAGTGTTTCACATGTAGGATTCGATAAAGTAGACGATCGAGGTTAAGCAGCTGGACAACATTACTCCTGCAACTATCAGATCAGAAGCAATTTAATTAGTAGGTCATTTTGTTATGTAAATGGATGTTGGCATGTAACTAAATGGTTAAGTTGTGTATGCTCTGAGTATTTTGATAAACTTGTATTAATATATGTATATTATTGTATTTTAATAAAATAAGTTCGAATGTTTTATCGGTTTTTTTAGTATTGTTTTGTTTAGTCAATGTGACATCCTGGACTCGTATTCGGGTCGGATATGAGTTGAGGGTGTTACATTTAATGGTATCAGAGCTATGGTTTAGTCAGTTCTAGGCATAAACCAGAGTCTATAGAGTCTTTAAATGGGATACATGCCAACAAATAGTGAGAACTTCTGATCTGGTATAGTATAAGTATGATGATTTGCTAATAGAACAATGTGTTTATTTTATTAGATGTCCGGACATAGTAGCTCCCGAAGTGAAGCGGGAGAAGATAGGCCTGCTGAAAGTAGTAATTCACCTGCCCTGGCTAGGCAAGGTGAAGGACATGCATCTCAGGGAGTGCCTGTACAAGATCAAGACACGTTCTTTAGAACGTTAGACGCTATTCTGACGCGTCTTCAACCTCCTGCTCCACCAACTCAAAGGATGAATATAGAAAAAGAGTTAAGAGGTTTAAGAGCTCCCGAATTTAAGGGAGAAGCCGAGAAAGGTCCGGTTGCGGCGGATCTTTGGCTAAATGATTTGAAAATCATGTTGGATGGTCACCACTGTTCTGAAGTAGAGAAGTTAGATGGAGATGTTTCATTGCTGAGGGGTCAGGCGAGGATATGGTGGAAGAACCTCACCATTAGGATGTCCAGTGACCAGTTGACTTGGTCTTTGTTCTTAGATGAATTTAAAAACAAGTACATTGGAGATCAATTTATTCGGCAGATGAAACATGAGTTTTTGAATTTGAAACAGATGAACCGCTCTGTATATGAGTATGAATATGAGTTCAACAAGCTGAGTAGGTTTGCATCCGAGCTTGTGCCTACTAAAAAAGAGGCTTGTGAATGGTTTGTGGAGGGCTTACGCCCTAGATTGAAAGAGATGCTGATAGTATTGAATTTTTCTTCGTTCCAAGAGGTGATCAATCATGCCAAGGCTCTTGAAAGAGCTCAAAATGAGAGATTCGTGGATTTTAGAGTTCAGACATCAAAGAGAACGGGTGTTTTTTCTAGCTCAGCAACATCAAAACGAGGAAGAGACTCAGGATTTCGATCACAAGCTAGATCAGAATCAGTTGCATAATCTGCTAGGGGAGCAAGTCAGGCAAGACCTAGACAGAAGCAGTCAGTGGGATCTAGTGTTGGGAGATCTACTCTGAGTCAAGCGAGACAGTGTCAACACTGTGGCAAAAACCATTTTGGGGCTTGTCGGATGACTACTGGGACTTGTTTTCGATGCGGAGATGTCGAACATTTTATCTGGGATTGTCCATTGATGGTTGGTGAGCCTACACCATCTGAAAGAGTTGGTTCTGCCTCACAAAGAGGACAAGGAAGAGGCAGAGGAAGGAACCAGTCTGAATCCTCTGCTCAACCTGAAGTTCGATCAACCGCGCTGGTGTACAATCTAAAGACAAATGAAGACCGTGATGACCCTGATATTATAGCAGGTATTTTTAGCTGTACGATAAATTAATATTGGTACTGATTGATCCAGGCTATAATTATTCTTACATTAAGAGTAAGTTAGTAAAGGAATTGATGATTCCCTTAGAAGCTACGAGTATATAGATTATAATAACTAATCTTTTAGGCCATAGTGCTCGGGTGAACAAAGTCTGTAAGGGGTGTCCCATAAAGATTCAGGGAATTAAATTCCCTGCTAATCTGATGGAATTACCCTTTGACGAGTTTGAAGTGATTCTGGGAATGGATTGATTGTTCCATTACTATGGAGATGTTAATTGTAGAT